CCAGACTTGTCCAGAAGTAGCATTTCAAGAACCCACCAAAGACTTCTGGGACTTGGGTCTCTCTAGCATCTGCCACCAGATTAACAGGAGTTCAAATACATATAAGTCTCTATAAATCCTACACAGCTTCCACTTTTGCTACACACAGAACTAGCTGCATAACCTCAGAAAGGAGGAGGAAACGCAAGCTCAGCCAGCTGTCGGGGTTTTTTTAACCCTGTTTTACAGACTGTCCAAACAGATGATTGGCTTCAGGAGAGATTAAGGTTTTGAGAATCACTTCCCATGAGCAGGCTGAGAGATGTTATTATTCCCTCAGTATTGTACGCTGAACCTGGAATAAATACCTTGACCAGCTCTGGGCTGCAGGGATCCAGCAAAACATAAGACGCTCAGAGGCACGTGACTTGTGAGGAGAAGCTGAGGAAAATGGGTTGGTTTGGTCTGGTGAAGATGAGGCGAAGACCAGTCTGTGACAACCTGAGGAACTACCAAGGTGATGCACCCAAGCTTTTTGGTAGTGCCTGATGATGCACTGAGAGGCTGCGGTCACAAAGAGCAGACTGGGCGGTTCGGGATGGATATTGGGAAAAGAATTATTGTCTAGCACTGCACTGTAGTGCTGGAACGGGTCACCAGGAGAGGTTGTGCAAGCTCCCTCTTTGGAGGCTTTCTAGACTCGGATCAACAAAGCCAGGGCTGAGCTGATCCTATGCTGACAAAGGTCTGGCCCGAGCAGGAGGCTGGACTACACATGTCCCACAGGTCCCCTCCGAGCAGCACTTCTTGGATTCTATTTGGCCAAAACTCTCCTGTTTCAAACACCATTTCTTTCTGTTCACCGCATTTAAGAAAACATAATTTGAGATGTTTCGTTTTCAGGTGGATATACTGAAGTATAACAAACCACCATCAGACAAGAGAGCAAGCTGATAACGTGCTTTTCACAAATGCTATACAGCTGCCTGCCTGAATCATAAATTGGGTGCTTTAATGGTTCAGTCACACCCACTATTGCCATACATCCAAATTAAGGTCAGTTAGGATTACTTCCCTGTTGAATAGACTTCCCTTTAATTAGATATTCCAGAGATAACGTTTTAACAGCTCGTTATTTCATTACTTTGCTGGGGAGGCAGGCATAAACCAAGGAATTTCAGATGAGGCGGCTCTATGTAGTCCTTTCCCACTCCCGAGTGGAACAGGTCTCCGTACTTGCTCATTAGATAATGTAGCAGGGGGGGAGGTTAAGGAATAACAAAAAAAGTTTGCAGACTGTACTTTAAGGATAGGGATGCCTAATCCAAAATTTCTCCGTAATTTCAGAAATTTTGTCTGGCCACTGTCCCAGCATAAACACTTCTGTTAGATACAGGCCTATACTTTCGGTTCAAGATTAGCACCATCCCAGTTACCCCAATATTTTGCTCAGCGAGGGAAAAGTTAAACCAGTATAAGAACATTTACAGAAGCTTAATATTATTCACGCTTTATCACTGTAAATAAACCAGCCCCAGTTTGGGGTTTAGACCGATTGCTACCGCATAACTGTAGCCCAGGGAAGGAAAAGGGCTCATCTCCAGTGCCACACCCAAGCCAAGTCACTTCCCTCAGACTAACCTTGAGAGTACCAGCTAAGAAACAACATTTCAGCTACACTGAGTAACTCGATTACGAACACAGAGAGATTAGATTAGCAGCAGATGACTTGGAAGTCACGCTGCTGCATCCCCACTGAATTACTAGCGCCACGAGCAGCAGCCCGCCCCCTTCCACCCAACCCTCCCCACAGGACAGGCGGTTCAGGCTTGACGCGTCTCTTTAAGCTTCTTTAGACACCAAGTAAACAAAAGGCACAATTCAAATCTTGCCCCCTATTGTACCAAACCCAATTGGCTATCATACATCAAAAGTTTGTCTTTCAGGGTCAAAATGACTATTAAAAGCATTTCATAGGTCACAACATTTCAGAAAAGAGCTATAAAGGCTGACATCCAGCTTACCAGGAGGCCGCACGGTCCACGAGACAGCAGCTTGTGAGTGAGACCATTTTCTCAGATCTAGTTATCAGCAACCAGGGCAGAAAAAGAGGAAAAAAAAAAAACAAACACACGTTAAAGAAGTGGCCATAACCACACAGGCACAGCATAAGCTCATATTCCAACAGGGCCGAAGCGATGCAAGCCGGGAAGCAAGCTGTCTCCCACCAAGGCATGGGAAGCGGCCAGGTTGCCATTCTTCAGCTGAGCCATGTCCATCACCAACCTCCCAGCCTGTTGTGGGGTTCAGCTGGCGAGGAGCAACTCACTGCACCCAAGGAACGTGCAGGTGTACGCCCAGCTCCTTGGTTTAACTGTTTTAATGCCTTTTGCCAGAGTTCTGTGAATTTAGCCCACATACTGAAAACACTTCTAAATTAACACTTCTAAATTAAGAGCCTTCTTAAGCAAGCTGTACAGACAGTCCCTAAACTGCTGTTGGCTCAGGAGAACAGAGGGCAACAACAGCTGCTCGTTCAAAAGGACTGTGGTACAAAGCCTGTTGTTTCTGCGAAGAGGTTTTGGCTGCGTTCACGTTGTTGATAATTCTGTTCAAGGAAATTTTGCAACAAACTCAGCTGGGGTGATTTGGAGGGGTTTTGTTTGGTTGCTTTTTTAATAAAACAAGGTACAAAAAAGTCCACCTTTATCAGCACCACCTAGAGCAGAACCTCTACCTCTCCAGAACAGTATTTGGCAGAGTTAACCCCTAGCATGCCCATTGTGCTGAGCCTACCTACACCCATCTGATTCTAATTAACCACCAGCCGACAGCACTTCCCTGCACCAACTAGGAAACCTTTGGGGGAGTTATCAGGCCTCCTCCCCTCTCTTCCATTCCCCAAGAAGCAAAAAAACCCCTGTACTGCAAAAATATTTTAACTCAATAGGGCCTTCTTCTCAGAGACATTATTATCACAAGATTAAACAAAACTGATGGTTTCTATCCAAAATATGCAAGGCTACGACTTGCTGGAATTTATCTGGGGTGTTTATCATTCGTTTTGAAATTCAGTGTATTGTATCTCATGCTATTTACCCAAGAAACACAGCCAGAGCATGAGATATGTGGGAATCACCTGTTTTGTTCAACCCCGACCAGTTTGTATAGAGGTTTCACAATCTCTCCAGTTTCTCCTCTGGAATCTTTATCACAATACAGTTGAGAACATGAATTAATCCCCAGTGACTTTAAAAAAAATAAATAAATTCATGTTGGAGTCAAAATGTGATGGAAAAAAAAAAAAGAGGGAAAAAAAGAAATCTGGAATCTTTCTATTGGTGTTTTAAGGCATAACAAACTACAGCAATTTATTTCACCATATCCAGTTGTAACGCTAAACCACAGATAAACATTACCAATGTAGCAAGAATGTGTTTCTTCCTTCTGATGGAGGTCCAAGATTGCCCTCTTGAGTATGCCAAACAGCATGGGGTACTTCATTTACCATGTGATTGGCACACACTTTAGCTTTGAATCAGTTTGGAGATGAAATTGTTGGCCAAAGCTCTGGAAATTCTGACTCTAGAGTTGTCAGGCAGGCTGTCTTTACTTTGAGAAAAAATAATTCTTTTTAATAACACTATGTTACTTGGCTTTTTATCTGTTTTTGCACTGTTCATTAATGTTTTGCCTTTCTACGTATTGTGCAGCACCCCAAGAACTTCAGTAGGGGAAACTTCATCAAAAAAAAAAAAAAAAGCAGCTTATTATTTCAGCGTGTGCTAATAAAATTACTACACATTTGGGGAAATATTCTAGTACAATCTATTTTGATGGCACACAGAAAGGTCAGCCCTTGCACGCTGACACAAAAAGTGTATCTGTTCACTGAAAGACAGAAATAATTTCTTAACGTGGCTCATTCTCAAGGCATCTCTTACAATGCAGGGAATTCTAAGGGCTGACGGTTTATTTTTCCATCTATCTTGTAAACAAAGGAAATTATCCCATAAACTCGTGTCTAAATTTTTTTAGTCAACATTATTTTGCATAGCAACAAGCTTATTTCTAGCTTAGTTCAAGACACACAGTTTGGTTTATTACTTTATTGGTATTAATGGAAAAGATCCAGAAAAGATAAACACATTATTTGGAGGTCTGACTCTAATGCCTTCCATAGCCTAAAGCCAGTGAGTATTCTGGGAGCAGGGTGTGTGGAGGACTGGCTCTGAATTCACTTCTTTAGGGCACATAACTATAAAACCATGAGTTCTTTTCTGATTTAGCCCACCCCAAACCTTCATGCAGCCTTCCACCCGCCCCGCCGCCTTACTGCCGTGAATGACGCGCACACACACACGCTCAGGTGTTGCAAGCGCACACACAGGCACGTGAACATGGTGTACCACATCCCTTCTTTCTTCACTGACACACCTGCTGTGTTACACCCAAACACCACGTCATTTTGCACAGCAGATTGATACGCAGCTTCTTCTTTATCTGGTTTCCCTGATGGCCAGTAACCTGCCTTCACGGCCATGAAAGCTTTCAGAAAAGTTTCTCTCTTACCTGAACACGCGGGTTTGGCTCCCTGTTGTGGTGAACCCTCAAGAAGCCAATTCCTTTATACACTTCTGTCAACACTGTCAGCTGTCAGCTGCTTGAGGTACAGCCATATCGGTGATTTTGAAGTTGAAGGAGCTTTTGTATCAAGATGAGGGTCAACCAGTGTCAAATAACACAAGTACAATCACCACCTCTGTTCTCCTAACAGAGGTATTTCTAAAATTACACACAATCAGGCTTTTCCTTATAATGCTCCTCTTCATTAAAATTTTTGTAGTAATGTACGTCTTCAGAGTAACCTACGATTGTGGATTTCCATGAACTCTCAGCTGTACGACCACATTCACCTTACTCAAATGCTTATTTCATCATCCATCTGAATCACAAGTAGTTCAGATCTCGAGAAGAGGCTCTGCTGATGGTAAGTCAGTGCCACGAAGGTGTGTTTATAATTAAGATGACTCGTTTGGCTGCAGGCTGTTTTCATTCTCAGGAACGGGTTTGCAAGGGCGACGCTTTTCTGGGTGGTGTTTTGGATATCGCCTACAAAACGGGCCCTCAGTATTTTGAATTTTCACAAATGATGTCTGATAAATGGTTAAGCCACCCTTGCTGCTAGGAACTGACTCATGAGCCCACAGGAAGAAGTTCTGTGAGTTCTGCTGCCGTCTCTCTGGTTCCACCTTCCTCCGGCCCATACCCTAGAAAAAAAATTGCAAGAAAAATTCATGTAAACATATGACTTACAGTCACAGCTTCACAGATGAATCTTGCAACAGTCACTACCCCACTGGGAAGTTAACGAAGCTGTTACCACAGTGATTTCAAGAACTCATGGCTGATCTTTAGCAAGTTAAAAATAATATTGTCAGACTTGCCTGTATGCACATCTCTGGTTGCATATATAACGGGAAATCTGTTGACCTTCCACCTCCTAGCACTAATAAACCACGTACACTTTGCATTTCTGTAGCATCCTATACACTCAAGGTTATTTAGCTATACTCGGCTACATTAATCTTCAGAGTAACAGAGAAATAGGTTAATAGTTTTATGTTGAGGCTGCAATAAAGAAACTGAGACCATGAAATCTGAATCTTCAAAGCTATCCCTTGTGTATCCAAACACGGAGAGACGGAGCCTGATTTTCACACTCCATAGCTTGCGGGAAATTTGTTTGGAATTATGGTTGATCAGTATCTCCAAACTACGAGACACTGCACAAACTGCACAGAAAGGGAGGTTACTCAGAGAATAATGAATACCAAAAAATCTAGGTCTCAGAGAGCTCAAAGTCAGCCAAACTTTCAGTATCGCTGCTTCCTCCTCTACCCATTATCTTGTGAACTGCATTACATCTCTTGCTGCCTAGAAAGATGTCAACAATCTAAGAAAAGTGGAAAAACATGAAACTGTTGCAAACACAGAAAAGCCCCAAACCATTTAAATTCTATTCAAAGTTGTGGCTTCTGAAACATACATTTAAACAGGTATGTTAAAGAGATGTGGATCGGAAAATAATACATTCTGGAGATATATTGCGGGTGTCCTATGGATTTTGGTTAAACTTACGATAAAGAGGAGCTTGAACCAAGTAAGTGGAGCTGTGAATTATGAGTGGCTGAGATCCCTCCACGTCACCACAAGGCCAGTCGCTCTCAGCAGACTAACAGGACACATAACTGGGTACAAAACCCTGTTAAGACATAAACCCCAGGACCACTAGAAAATGCCTGTCAGAGCCAGATCATGGGGGTTTTGTTCCGCTTGAATTCTGCCACTCTTGGTGACCACATGTGCTGCCATATACCTGTGCCAGCCCCAGAGGAGTCCCATCCCTATGCTAACAAGAAGTGTGTTTTTCTTTGCTGCTTACATTTTTCTCTTCTCACAATCTTTATCATCTGTAATCTTTGCAGGGGAGAGAAAAGACAACTGTGTTTCACCTCTGGCAGACTGAGATACGAACTTGCTTGATTTTTCTCAGGGTTGGGTACTTACCAAATCAAAATACTCTCCTACATTCTGTAGACAGTGTCTGTTGTCATGAGAAGAAAATGGGAAATTGGTGTTCACCGCTCTCTGAAAAATAGACATTACAGCAAAAAAGTGACGAATTTTCACACACCTTGTTTGGAGTCTGCAAGTCTTAGTTCTTATATTCTGACAGATGCTGAAATTACAGCAGCCTATGTTCTAACAAAGAAGTCGTATTCACATGTTGAATCTTCAACTTCACATAATTTTAGAGGGGTGATGTGGACCCTCTGTATTTTATTTTGGGTTGGTCTTTTTTTTACAAGATCATCAGGAGGACTTGTGTTCCCTTGATTTGCTGAATATACACACGATTAATAAAAAAGTGGGAATTTTCAAATAAGAAATGATACACTCTGTCTGCAAGTAGCAAAATTCTACATATATGTCAGGATATGTCATGTTGCCTTGTTTGATTCACTAGTAAGCCTAAAGCTAATTAAAATGAACTACAAAAGGGACCTCAAAACTGAATTAATCTATGAGTTATGTACTGAATGTCATGTACACTGCTTGTTGCAGGGGAAGTGAAGGAGCTATTAATTGCATAACTAATTCATAGTCTCATTCTTTAACATAACGTTCATTCAGTCTCTAAAATGAAACTAGATTTTAGAAGAAAAAAAGGACAACTGCAAAAGAACTATTTAAAAAGTAATTTAACATAGGTACTTTTTTTTTAAGTTTGTTTTTTACACATCATTGCAATATTATTAAAATAGCTGAAAACTCTTCTGGACTATTAGATTGCCTCTATTCTTCCCTGAGCATTATTTTCCTGCTTCGTGCTGGGAACGTTATGTGTTTTTCTGCAAATGCTCTGGCAATTTTTACTTTTAACACTGTGGAATACATTCCTCATCTTCCAACTATGACATTCACCTCCTTACGGAAGAGCAAGTTTTAATGTAACACAATATAAAAAATGTATTTCAAGAGTAAATGAATCTGAGCCAGTTCTGAAGATAAATGTAACTGGAGCCCTGATCTAGCAAACAGAGAATTTGCCTGCATGGAGTCAGCTGCATGATCGTATCCTCGGGTATTCGGTATACCAGACAGATTCTCTACCTTTTTGAGGTATGTGCCACACATTCCCTTGTTTTCTTACACAGATTCAACCAGACTGTAGTTGAATGGATGGGTAAATTCAATGGATACACTCTCACATGTGTGTTTAAAAATAAGGACCTTCTAAGCCAGTAAAATGTAAGACTTACTAAAATATCCTACTGCAATTACACGTCAATCTTAACATTTTAGGAACTGTGTTTATTACTAGTGCCTATATGTTGCAGGAAAATTGAAACCCAAGTGGTAAATGTTGAATACCATCTCTTCGAGGATTTCCTGTATTAACAAATGGTAAAAAAATAATCTATTACAAAATATTTATAGGACTATCATGAAGTAAAAAATAAGAGGTAACATAAGAATAGACAGCACTGTATTTCTGAGCAAATGAATTAACCTCACAGCCAGTGAGTTCCCTCACACAAGGAGATTAGAGACATCCAGCTTCACGTGCAATGAGCTTCCAAAATTCTACCAGCACTTTTACAAAAAGTCACATAAACAAACTGCCTCAGATTGTATCTGTGGCACTTCATTTTAATTCTTGATTTGACAGATACCAATTCCACTAATTCTTTTTAACAGTGCAGGGCTGGTAAATACAAGACATAAAACATCAGGTGGGCAGTCACACTGGTGTTGATAAAAGGCCCAGCTAACCTGGTTCTCCTTTTCAGACAGCAGCTAAAGCTCCACACAGAGGTATATGTAATATCAACATAATGTATACTCACGTTATAGTATAATCTTCTCCTTTTCTTCTCACTAGCCCCAAGTTTCCCTTTTAAATATTCCTTCCTAGCCCATTTCTGCTCTTCATTATAGCAAAATGTGTGAAATGAACTCAATGCAATTGCTCTGCTTATAGAAAATGAAAATAGAAAATGCTCTGTGCACAAAGTAGGTGGGTAAAGCAAAGCTCAGCGTGATGATAAAATCAGGACATAAAAACGTGCTTATGAAATTGTAGCATTTTAAATACTCGTGATTTTAAAATACTGTATTGTTTGCTTCCAAAATTGTCCCCAAATCTCCTCATTTTTAAGCAAGCCTTAAAAATGTTTCAGATGGGAAGCTTCTAACTTTTTAAAGATCAAAAAAATAAACCTTTGCCTAAGACACAGAATTTCTGACATTCAATTCAAAACAGATCATTAAACGTCCTTCCAGGGCTTCACACACAGGTTTTGGACTGACATCAATCATGAGATATCCTGGCACACAAACGTGTCTCGAACAGCTACAGCAGCTAATAAAAGGGAAAAGCAACTGATGCTGAAAAGCAGTGATAACTACAGCGGGACTTGGAGTATCCAAAATTATAACTGAGTAACAGCAAAATATGGTTCTTCCTCAGCACAGCTAGCAATCATTTCACCCCCTGAGGCACAAAGTCTGCCAGCCCGCTGCGACCGCCTTGCCAACTGCTGGAAGTGCTCTTCTTCCTCAGAACTTAGCAAGTGAGATCTTGCGAAAACGAGCTCTGAATTGACTGTTTCACCACAGGAACTCACCTGCTCCCGAGCTCTGTAGGCTGGCGGCAATCTATCCTCGAGATGTTGAGCTGCTCCTGCGTCCTGGACCTGTTTCAGGGTAGCGCTTGTCGCTGACTCAGGTTGACTCTGGCATCTTCCAACATGAGCAAACTAGAAAATAATGAAAATCGTGACCCATTTTTTTTTTAAAAAAAAGCGCCAACAACCAAAAAAAAAACCCCAAATAAACCTGATCAGAAATGTGGGCAAAAGAGTATTTTCCTATTTATTTTTTATTATTTGGATTGCAGCAGCACCTAGTGGCTTCTAGAAAAATGAGGAGCCTCCCACACCCAACACAACCCCTGCCATAAAGACCTCATGGTATAGATCAGTAAAACAGACAAGAACATTTTCTTCAGGAACTTGCGAAAAAATGTTTATACAGCGATAATCCACCCACCAAACCCACTTATGCTATAAAGTCTTCTCCCCCCTTCCACGCTGCTCCTGCTGTTGTACGAATGTAGGCTGGAAAGCACAAACGTTCTGGGGAACAGCTCAGCCAAACTTTAGGGCCACGTGCTCAGGGACCGAAGAACAGCCCGTGCCAGGCGCGTGTCACGGTGCCCTTGGGTGCCCAGACATCCCAGCCCAGGGCTGCCACACTTCTCCTGAGGGTGAGAACTGAGGCAAACGTCAGCTGGCATTTCCCAGAGGATAATCAGCTAGGGCTAAATATAAAATAAGAGACCTCCAGCACTGTTGGAGCACTGGAAAAAAAAATTCCTGCCGGAGTTTGCTTTGGCATACTTCCTCTGAATACCCAGGGCACGTCTTCCTCATAAACATCAGGAACGAGCGACCTCCTTTCTGGCTGAAGGACAAAGTCACCCTTAGCTCGGCACTTTTTGGAGAGTTTAAGGATCAAAAAGCCCCGTAGGGGACACAGGGGCTCCTGCCCAGCCCTCACCCAGGTGCTGGCACACAGCTCGCTGGGGTGAGACCCCCTG